GGTCGGGTGGTGGGAGAGGGGGACGAGGGAGGGAGCGAGCTGGTTCGCGGAGTCAGAGTGTGAGGGCTGGGAGCGAAAATGAAGAGCAAGGCCAGGGCGCGGGAGCCGGGAGGGAGCGGGGTGGAGCGGGAAGCAGCGGCCGCCGCTATTCCTTTCCTCCTCTTCGCTGGCTCAGCGCTTCAACTGCTGTCACTGCAGTGCCTCCGACTGGAAGGTCCTAGGTTCGGGTCCTGGCGGTGGCAGGATTTTCGGCACTAGCCAGATCGCTAGGTGGATCTCTATCTCTGTCTCGAAGAGAATTCTAGCCGCCGCCTGCTCTCATCGTTAATTTTCTGTAGTTTCTCCGATCAATACCAGGAGAATGCCTCTGCAGTTCCCTTTCAAACGAGCCACGGACCGCGTGCAATCGCTCCTGCCCATTCCTTCTCCTATCCTACCCCTTACACACACTCTTACATGCACTATACTACCTCCCTTGTGGGATATGAACCGGGAGCTTAGAGCTGGTCCCTGCTAGTGATACCTTGTTGGGAAAAGCCCGCTAGCAGACGGGAGGTCGGCGCTGGGTCTCGCCTGGCAGCAATCAATCCAACCAATCGTCCTGTTGGCAGGCGGAGTTGAAGCGGCTGTACACGCAGCTGGAGGTGCTCAAGAACAAGACGATCCGCGCCGACAACCCGCACATCTCCAAGCGGCGCGGCGGCCGCAAGGTGGCGCACCGCCGTTCTCGCTGCAGGTCAGCGCCCCCCTCCCCGCCCCCCCCCCCCCCCGCCAACACACACGGGCTCCTCGACCGCTCGGATGGGCGCTAACGCTCCGGCGGTTTGCGTTGGTGTTTGTCCACAGATTGCAACAACCTAGTTACGCTAAAAACCTGTTTTATGGTTTATAGATTTTCTCAGCTAAAACCTAGTCACTCCAAAGGGTCGAACTGCCTCCAACCGACTTATCGATATTGCAACAATTATAATCACCGATGTCGGTATTCGGGAAATATTGTTTAAAATGATTAAACTATCTTGTTTCTAATCGAGAATTGTTAATAAAATTGAAAAGAAAAAAGTTAATTAAAGCATTAACTACTTTATGATTTAAAGATTCTTAATATATCCAGATTTTAATACAAGTCGTCGGATTCAAATCAGGCGTAAATTGCAAGTTACTCATTAAGAACTGAATCTGCTAGATAATATACAACATTGTAAATTAAATAGATGCAGTAATGTTAAATAGTAATGGATATTATTGGAAACTCATTTATTAAAACCTCTATTTTTTTCGTTATTATGAAATCCATCTGAGCATTTTTTTTCTAAATTGAAAGAAAGACAGCAATATTTTGAAAAATCTATGTACCGTTGCTATACTATCCTCGTCCCTGCCTTCCCTGTGTATTGCAATTTAGCTTAGTTTTTAGAGAGTTTGTTAATGCGCGCGTTCTGAAACTCCATGTTGTTCTTTTCATGCAACAGAAGAAGGGAAGTAGAGAAAAGGTGAATTATACTCTTGACACTATTTTGTTCATTAAAAATCATTGCAATGGTCAATTTCTATTTCTTTCTGTAACGATGTTTTTTTCAATAATGTTTCATGTAATTTGGTTTGGTTACATATTTGGCTGAATTAGAGATTCAAATGTGTCCATGTTTTTAAATGCAGTCCCTCTTTCCAAATATATTTCTTGCTTATATTGTTGACAACAATTAACATAATTATTTAATTTATTAAATTATATTAGTACAACTCTTTTACATTTTTTAAATTCTCACTCATTTAATAGGATATTGAGGAAATAATGGTTTAACTTTCGAAATTTTAATGAAATAATAAGTATCAGTTCACCGATGCAGTCTTTCAATCTAATTTTTGATACCTTACAAACGCATTCTTATTAAAGTCTTAAAATATTAAATAGTATTGAATAAACGTGCATCGTACTTTCATATGCAATATTCTTTTGTAGAAAAAGTCGGTAACCATTTAATGCCAGGAAAAATTATAATCGTAGCATGAGGTATAACACACCATTTGGTACAGAACACATGCAAAAGCAACTAAAAGAACCTGAATATGAAGATAATTATCTGGAATATTTTTTCAAGGTGATTCAAAGACAGGAAAATGGGACAAATGTTTTTTAACTACAGCTCAGTAGTCGAAAAAATATGAAAAAACTCACAAAAATTTGGGAATTTAGAAGAACTTTCGCGATTTTTTCGAGTCTGTTCCAAAAACAGTAAACATTATGTTTTGTTATTTTTTTAAAAATATTTATTGCGTTTGAATTTGGCGCTGAGAAAAAATAAAAAAAAAAAATTTTTCTGATAGTAAAAATCATTTTCTTATTTTTTTATATTCTTTCAATCGGTAAAGAAATGGGACGGCGTGGGAGTGCAGTGGTGCGTTGGGGTTGCAGGCGCTGCACCACCGGAACCAGCGCTGCTCCGTGCGCCACTCGCACGGCGAGCGCGGCGGCGCGGGGCCGGCGCGGGCGGCGGCGACGCGGAGCGCGATGTCGCGGACGCCCGAGGACTCCGTGTGCAGCAACGAGGGGCCCAGCGCCATCTACAACGACGGGCCGTCCACCTACAGCGACGTGGGCACGCCCAACGTGTCGTTCCGCGTGTCGCCGCGCCAGTGACGCCCGCCCGCACCTCGCTTCCTACGTCGAAGAGCTTACGGTCGCCGCTAGAGTCCAGGAGGAGCCGGCTGCCCTCCCGGCGCCCGCGCCGCGCCGCGCTTGCCCGGCCGTGCCTGGCCAACGCAAAGACTCGTGTCCACTGTGTGCGCTAGAGGGCGCCGTGCGTCTCATCGCCCGGCGCCTAGTCGGCCGCTCACCCCGCCCTCACCTCCGGGTGGCGGCCGCCCTCCCCCCATCACCCCCTTCCACCACCTGAATCACCAGATATCTGTCGTGAAAGAGCTTGCATGTCCCCAGTCTGTGAGTGCTTTTTTCCAGCCCTGCTTGAGGAAAACTCACTAGTACAGGAAGCTCCGAATGTGTGTCCGCATCGGCTTTTTTTTCAATTATTAAAAAACGCATCACTCGATTGAACTGAGGACCAAAATGTCAGTTCTCACCAAAATTTCACGAGAAGAACAAAATTAACCTTAAAAGAATAAACATTAATACAAATATTTTTAAAAACTAGAAGTTACCTATAAAAGAATTGCTACTTTTTTCGACCTGTCTGTCGCAGTAAATGTTGCATGGCCGTAATTTCCACTTCACAACGTCATAATATTTACTCATTGTATACCAAAACTGATATTTACTCAAATGACTTTTTTTCTTTCCGTGTGTTCATTTCGTGTTAAAAACACTAATGTCTATATTTCAAGAACTAACAACATTGGATATTGTTTGTTCTAAAACATATATTTTAGAAGTACTTTCCAACATTTGTAAATTGTGAAAACTCTATCTCCAAATTCACTTCCTCGTCATGAAAACTGTTTAATACTATCTATTTGCAAGGACAGGTCGAAAAATGAAAAATAATTTTTCACATAATTGTAATAACGAATGTACGTAAGTATTAAATAAGAATTTGTAGGAATTATTTTTGAATTGTTAAACATTAGTTTTGAAACTATTTCTAACACATCCTAAATGAAGAAATCTGCTCAGAATCCTATTTTTAAATAACACTAAAATATTTTTTGATAAGTCTGATTTTTCAATCACCTTTTGAAAAATGTTTGTTTTTTTTGAAAAGTGAAAATACTTATTTTAAAATATTTTTATTTTCAACACGCTAAATAAAGAGAAGATTAAATGATCTAAAATCATGGTGTTGTTTTGGAGATAAATAAATCTCAAGATATTTGAGTATTTTGCATGTGAAAAATGACAAGAAATAATTTAAGTCTACGCATTCGAAGCCGGAGCGGAATCTAAAGCGTAAAGTCCACAGAAGTGTTATATATTTCCTTGTAAGATGTGCATTTCTTTATGTGTTACAAGGTAATATGTACTGTATGTCATATAAGGGTAGGCCATTCTCTTGCCGTTTCAGATCAGTCTGGCACTTTACAAACCTCTTTTCAATTGCAGGAAAACAAACGTGTGCATTTTGACACAGCACACTGTTTCACGCAATTCAAAATATTTTATAAAAATGTATTTGAGTGCCATCTGACACTTAGGCACACTAGGGTGCATTTATAAATATAGGAAACAAATGTAAAATATGTGTAGAAATACAATAATATAAGGAATGTATAGAAACATAGGTGTGTATGATTGTATTCATGCATACATTTCATGAACATGTTCGACACGAACATTCCCTAGATTCCTCTCCGAAAACATGTGCAATGCCGAACCTTTTTCTATTTTCTCCACATCAAACTTTATATTTTAACAAAGTTAACGGCCGCAACTGAATCATGTTCACTGACACCAATGGAACGGTTACTGAATATCTCTCTTGAATCAAACTGCCTGCGGTATTATATTGATTTATGATGTTTGTGATTGCAGTATGAAGTTTTTGGAAAATGTGGCGATTATTCATTGAAGATTGAATGGGATTTGTCATCTAGCTCCATATCACTTTTGAAATGTCTTCTGAGACTATTCATATCAAGTTCACTTGAGGAAGGGAATTAATATTATGCATTTTAGTTTAAGTTCGGCTATGCCTGGTGTTTATTTACCACGAACGCCCGTCACGGCGTCGTCACGGCCGTCCTGCCCCCACCTTCGCCCCCCCCCCCGCGCCATGTGTGTCCTGCACATACCTCCTGCCCAGTCCTTCCTTCCTATTCTGTTGGATCATTTCTTCCTGGCCTTCACGCCTCGTCTGTCTCTCCTGATTACCGTTTCCGACCTGTCAACCCCTCCCGCGCTGCCCATCCAGACTCCTCCGCTCTTTTCACCCCTCTCCTTCTTCTTCCGTCCCCTTAGTGCATCCCGTTCCGCCTGCTCTGCCCACTCCACGGCCCCTGACAACGCCCTCCAGCAGTGCCGCTCAGATCCACTGACAATTGCATTAAGTGTACGGCGCTACCAGAAAGGAAGTTTCCTTAAGGTAAGAAAATACAATGTCTTTGGAAAACCTCATGGCAGCGGATGAACGCATGCTACACTATTTTTCTATACAATCACCGGCAGAATTGAGAATTTGTCATACTGTGGGTTAAACATTTTTGTATCCCTGACTCGTAGTAGTGACTGACAGTATTTGACTGCCACTCGCAAATCATCGTCTCTGTGAAGTGCGTGATGCTGACCGGACAATTTCTTGAGGTGTAGGAAAAGATGGAAATCGATGAGGGCGGAAATCGCACAATAGGGTGGGAGGTCAAAGCTCTCTGTGGGAGTTCTCTCTCAAAAGATCTGTTCTGTAGTGAGCCGAGCCGTGTGGGGCCATGTAGGAAGAGAACACCTGAACTGGGCATCGCTTGTTCTAAACGGACCTTCGCAAATTCGTGTCCGGTTAGCATTACTCTTTTCACAGTGACGCAGAGTTGCAGGTGGCTGTCAAATACTGGTACATCTCCCAGTCAGCAGACTTCTACGACGCGGATTCCAATGTTGATCCTATGGTGTAACAAATGTCACGATTATGATGGTAACCTAGGGATTCTTTCTGAATGTGCCTCGTAAAAATTGTAAAAAAGTACACTTTAGGATGTCATTTTGAATCGCATAAAAATAAGAATATACGCTATTCTTATTTTGTATTCTTGGCCGCTCAAAAGCATTAGGGAGCAATTTGAGAGCAGTCACTTCAGAGGTATTAGTGTTTTTGTGAAACAAACACATTCTTTCAATTTCTAGAAAATGTGACATTAGAGCTACAAAAAGGACAAAATTTGCTTAAAGTGTTTAAAAAACGAATGTCGCTATCATCATGATTAATTGAAAGATGGAAAGTACTTGAATTAAGTACTATGATAGACACGCATAACAATAGAAGAAATGAAATTTCGTAATACACAGTTCTGAAAATAACTCATTAATGTAATAATTTCATTAATACAGCACATAAATAACTGGGATCCGTACATATATAGGCTGGAGTTCACTTTGTACCCCACTTCGAAGGGGCTATAATACTTTACTCCTTCAAGGGTTGAAGAACTTTCGCATCCACTATTAACTATGATTACACTTTTAAGCAGCTCAACTTGAAAGAATGTTCGGTACAAGAGCAGTATTTTCTCAATTTCCGGAAATACGAAATTATATACGCATTCAAAAACTTTGCTTGAACCTACAATGGTAATCAGAACTTTTAAAATTCATACTCTCTGAGATATTTAAATGCCATTTGCGATTTAGTGCATTGTTTTAAGTGTTCACTTTTCTATAATCCTGATTTCTTTTACTACATAGAGAGAACAATCTTATTCTAAATGTGGAGGTTTCATGGAAATGAAAACTAAATCGTTATTGAAACATTTTTGGGGTAAACAATGGAGTAAATTAGTTTAAATTTCTGCACTCATTTACATCTGGTTTCGATTCTATTTATTCTTTATTATTCGACTCTAATTATTACTTTATAATTGGCAGACTCCCGAATCTTGAAACATCATTTGAAAATTCGAATTCTTCCTTTTTCCCCCTCATAAAACCTAACATTGGTATATTGTATCTATATATCTATTAATGTCTTTGCAAATAACCCGGGCACACAACTTTCAAACTTCGAGCCAAAGTCAGGCAAGTCCTATATGCGGCCCGCGGCTCATTATTGAACATCTCCAGATTCGTTTCCCTTCTTCGAAATTTTCTTAATTTGTTAAATCACTCGAGTGTGCAAGTAATCAACATGTAATTGAAATTGAAACAACGAATTTGAAATTTCTAATTGAGAGACGTAAAGATATTGAATGCTTTTCTAAAAAGTTACAATGACTGCACATGCAAGTGTTTTTGTCTAAAGTTTCTTTTCATTATTAATTTTTTAAAAAATCAGAAATAAAACTTAGGAACATGAACAAATTCTGAGACGCCACTCTAAGCTACTAAATCAATATTTTTATAAATATTTCGAATGATTCGTTAGGATTCAAGTGATGAAAACAATAAGAATTCGAACCCTGTGGTAATAAAATGTGTGTGTGAGTGTGTGTGCATGAGAGAGACAGAGAGAGAGAGAGAGCGCGCGAAAGAGAGAGGAGACACTCGTTAAATTGTCAGCGGATGTGATATACGTATTTCGGAAGTAGCATGTGTTGCCTCTAAAAATTACATTTAGAGTTAAAAATAAAATTTGAAAAATCCACGTCTTATATTTAACCAAACAGATTTTGAAAATGATGCTTAAACATTATCGTATTTTCTAATTAAATACGAGTTAACACATAAGTGCCGAAAATAACTCAGACTTGGCGCCTATCCTCAAATAACACAATTATAATCTCTTTGACATAACAACATAACTGCTTCTTGACGCGGTTGGCAGGGCTGTCCAAACAGCCGTCACGAAGAAGATTGTTGAAAACCGAACCAATTTCGGTAAGATGGCGTTGACGCGAATTGTTTAAACCAACAATCTGTCCAGCTGTGGCCGCTCGCGACATACTTGAAGCGAGATACATTTTCGCATGCCTTGAATCTACTATTTATGATGCTCGGTGCTTTGTCGAAAATGTATTTTCGCATACCTCGATGCTATTATGTAC